GGGATCAAAGAGGAGCTTATATATGTGGCTTTTGTGACTTGTTGTCAGCTTGATGAAGGTATAGATATCTAAACTTGACCATTGATATCTTAGCTCTCTTATTTATGAGTTTTAGTTCATTTTGGTCCCAAGGATGAACCTCTATGGTTCAAACCCGATTCTTAGGTTTAGGATTACCACCTTTGGTACTATTTGAGACCCTAAAACAAAAAGTTGTCATCTTAAAGGTTTTAATGGGTTCATGAAAGAGTTAAGACCATTTTTATCGAAGAAGAATGCTATTTGGTCTTTTTGGAACATGCAAAGGCATAAAGTTGGCTGTATAAAGTTGCCAACTTTATGACTTAGGACTCATCAAACGACCTAGATCTGAGTTTGGGACGTAAAGTCTTCAAGTATTAAGCACTTAATGGATTTTGTGCATAAGTTTGTTGTATGCTGGGCGTACTATGTAGTACGCTATGCATACAGCCTTTCGCCCATTACGCTAAGCGTACAGAAGAGGTATGTTGGGCATACGCTCTTAGGTCGACTTGGGACTTAGTGGACTTTGGACCTTTAGGCCCTAATGGTTTTGGGCCTGGAATTGCTGATAGTTGGGCCTGAAGGTATCTGTGGGCCAATATCGGAATAGTTGGGCGTATTGGGTCTTGTGGCCAAATATAGAAATGGACGTTGCATTTGTGGGCCTTGGTTTGGGTCAATTCTTGGACTAGGTTATTGTGGGCCTTCGTAGGCCAATTTGAAACATGATTATGGACTTGGGAAATTATTGGACTTTAGGATAAGGCCCATTGGTAATGTTTGGTCCCAATTTGGAAAGTTCGGCCATTGATGGATTTATGAACATTATAGTGTTGGGCTTTTGTTTTGGGTTTGGGCTTTAGTTTTGGATCATACTTGGCCAGGGGTAGAATGATTATTTTACCCCATGCATAGATTAAGGATTATGGGATGGGACCTAATTTCTATTTGGGTATATTGATCAATATTGATAGATCAAGAAGTGTACATGGCAGCAACTAAGGATTTCTTTTAGGAAGCTTCTACATTCGAGGTGAGCCTCCTCACCATACCAATGGGTCTAAGGCACCAAGGCCGGCCCATTCAGCTAGTTGTAGTGTTTATTGTAGATTCACTACTGATATATCTAGTATGCATGTATATGCGGTATGCTATCTGATTATGCGGTATGTAGTATGCTAGTTGTCTTTGTGATACTTGAATGGAAGACCATGGGGGAGCCCATGGCGCTTGGATGTAAGACTATGTGGGGGAGCACATGGCTTTTCAGCTAAAGACCATGGGGGGATCCCATGACACTTGGATGTAAGACCATGTGGGGGAGCCCTTGGCTTTTCAGCTAAAGACCATGGGGGAGCCCATGGAACTTAAGTGTAAGACCATGTTGGGGAGCCCATGGCATCTTGGAGTAAGACCCTGGGAGGGGCCCACGACATCCTTATATGTTTATATGACATGGCTATGTGATTGATATGGTTTATGTAGCTGTTATAGCTAGTATGGATTATGTGGGTATGTGGATTATGTGAGGTATGCTATGGGGAACTCACTTTGCTTAGTGCTTACACTTTTGTTTATTGTTTCGGGTATCATCGGTTTGCAAAGAACGGGTCCGGCTTGATCGCAGTATTTTCCGCATTATGTGATTTTGGGACATAACTCTGATAACTGTTTTAATTAAGTAATGTCTTTGGAATGCCTGGATTTAAAAGATAATTGTGTTTTTACTATAATAAAAATAAAAATTTTACCCTTGATTTTTTGGTCGTTACAGGTAGTTAAAAATTTCACGGGTTTACGACTTATTCGGCGACCAATAAACTTTTGAGTGTAATTAAGTTTTATGATTATACAAATTTAATCAATTTTTACACGTTTGACCAATATATATATATATATATATATATATATATATATATATATATCGGCTTAGGTTATTCTATTCAAACTATGTATTGTATAAATGTATGAATCATTGTGAACCAATCATTTTACTTATTTTTGGAAAGTGAATAATACATATTATTAAATTAATGATAAATAAAAAATACCATCTAATTTCATTCTAAGGGTATTTTAGTCAATTAACATAAATTTAAAAAATGAAAATTGCATATTTTAAGGGAAAATAAATTCTATTAATTTTAAAAATCTGATTGTGTGGATGATAATTCTCCTAATTCGGAAATTCTGGCGGAATATGTTTATTAATATATTAAAAAATAACAAATATGATTGAACCATACAAGAATACATATTCTGACATAATATATATTTTGATTTAATGAACTTATTGAAGAATAACAAAATTTTGGATACAAGTTAAAATAAATTTCATTGCATTCTTAGAAAAGAAAAAGAAAATTATATACTATTCTATAAGAATGTTACACTTATTAATAACAAAAAAACACAATATATAAATCATTCTACCAGAATATAGTATTACATATATTTTTTTCATTATATTGTATAT